CAAACTACAGGGGGCTGGGCCACATTGTTTTTTCAAGTTTGGGGCCTTGAAGCAATTTTTCCAAAAAATAATAAGATAAGTAGAAATAAATGTAAGCTTAACGTATTGTCTCGTTGAAGTCATAGTCCAAGTGGTGTGTATCGGCCTCTCAAACCGTTTAGGTCGCGCCACGCGACATTTACACTGCAACAGCTTAAATAGTTGGTAATATTTTTTAATTTAAAAAATTTATGTTAGCTCTTCTCTAATAATTTATAATTTATTTATATATTTTCTATACAAAACCGTCAGGACTTTAACGGTAGTATTTGTGAAATCGACGGTATTGACAATGTTAACCCTACTTTTTAACCATCTTCCTTTACCGCCCTCTTCTAATTTCTAAAGCCTCCCTTTTTAACCCCCAGTCTTGACTTTTTAACCATCTTCCTTTACCGCCCTCTTCTAATTTCTAAAGCCTCCCTTTTTAACCCCCAGTCTTGTGCTTGTATTTTGTAAAGAAGAAAGCCCTCTTCTAATTTCTAAAGCCTCCCTTTTTAACCCCCAGTCTTGTGCTTGTATTTTGTAAAGAAGAAAATTTTGAAATAGGCCCGTTCCAACTTTTTTTAAAAAAAAATCGACCACCTCGCATTTTATTTACAAGTATCGATCTATTTCCTGGTCACGTCAACATCGTGGTCACGAAATAAAGTGATTTTTTTAAAACTCGTTGCTAAATTGTCGGGGTTGACAACCCCGACTATTTAGCGAGCCCTAGCTAACAAAAAGGCTAAATTAGTCGGAGTTGAGAATCCTGACTAATTTAGCAACTGTCTAATTGGTTGGTGTTGTGAACCCTGACCAATTAGAACGTCCTTCTTTTAAATAATTAGGGTCCCAACCCTGACCAACCCAAAAAAATTTAACGGATTCGGGTCTAGCACCAGGAAGCGCTGTTTCTTAGAAACAAGCGGGACCCACATGCACTTGCGTGGAAGAAAAAATGGCGGAGGAGACAGAGGGAAAAAGACTTTCTGTCAAATCGACAGGTAGGGTCGGATAGCATCAGGCCCAATGACATAGACCAGGCCTTCCATTTGGGCCCCACTTGCACATCACCACGTATCCTCATATTTCCAAATCAGGCAATGGTCTTAAATCCACTTATATGTTGACACATGATAATTTCACCGCGTTTCGCGGCACGAAACGTCTCTTGTGGGCCCGATATAAACGGGGACCCGCTGAAATTAGTCGGGGTTGAGTTGTTTTTGAAGTGAAACTCGCTCGTAGCGTGAGATAAAATCGCGAACAAATTTTTTAAACAGACCCATTTCAATTTTTAATTTTTAAAACCGACTCTTTTTTTTTTATTTACCAAAACCGACCCGATTTTATGATTAGCAGATTAATCACCTTCCTAAATAGTCGGGGTTGGCAACCCCGACTATTTAGGACGGTGTTAAACCCTAATTAGAAGCATTAAACCCTAAAAATTAATGTCCTAAATAGTCGGGGTTGCCAACCCCGACTATTTAGGAAGGTGATTAGTCTGCTAATCACAAAATCGGGTCGGTTTTGGTAAATAAAAAAAAAAGACTCGGTTTTGAAAATAAAAAGTTGGAATGGGTCTGTTTAAAAAATTTGTTCTAAAATCGCAGTATACTTTTGGAATGGTGATGGTTGATAACCCTGACCATTTTAAATGAGACAACTTAAAATTGTTGGGTTTGTCAACCCCGATTAATTTAGCCTTTTTGTTATTCATGACTTGCTAAATAGTCGGGGTTGGTAACCCCGACTATTTTAGCAACCAGTTAACTAAAATCGTCCTATTTCGTGGCCTATTTCGAAAAGTTAGAATGGGCCCATTTCGAAAATTTCTTCATTTTGTAAATGTAAGTGTTAGATGTAGCATTGTTAGTCTACATTCCTGTTTGTGCAGGTCTAGTCAGAAACCATTCAGGTGGTGGGGGCTCACATTCACACTTCAACAATTTAAATAGTTGATCATCTATTTAATTAAAAAAAATTTGTTGGTTTTTCTCTAATAATTTATTTATATATATTTTCTAAGCAAAACCACCAAGATTGTCGGTAGTTTTGCGAAATTAACCCTAATATGAACCCTTCTTTTTAACCGTCTTCCTCTACCCCTCTTCTAATTTCTAAAACCTCCTTTCCAGTTTTTTCTTTGGTTTCTCTCTCGTTCTTTTCTCCATTCGTGGCCTTCATGGGGAATTATCACCGACGGACAACTTTGAGATTTTTAGGCAGCCAGCTGCTGACGAAGCGAGCAGATCATCGACTGGGGCCCACAACACAGCCCTAATGGCGGCCTCTCTCGCTTGGACTATGGTAACATGCACACAGCATATTCTAAAAGCTAAAATAAAAAAAATAATTATATCCAGCCAGTGTTATTTGAGTTCTTCATCGAGTGATCCCCAGTAGAATAGTCTTATCTTGAAATAAATTGGAAAATTGGATTTTCTCATTGACATTCTGTTGGTTAATGTTAATTTATTGATGATAACGATGTATGTAAGACAACAACCGATTTCTTGTATAAATTGATCCTGCCAAAAAAAAAAAAAACTGCATGTTTGAAGCGTTGATGCAAGCTTTGTTGGGTTCTCCCCGTATCTCACAAGCCAAAGTCAATCAATGTATGACAACAACCGATTAATCAATGCTCATGGCATTAACGGGTACTATAACTTAATGAAACTCGTGTTTATGTATTTTGTTTCTTCCTTGTTTGTGCGGGCCATAATTCCCAACATCTTGTGATAGATTATAATATTGATCTTTCAAGGATTCATGTATCTGCAGATTATTATTAATTTAGTCACGATAGCGATGTATGGCGAGTGGTTTCTTGTATAATTGATCCTACCACTAACATTTACAATTAAAAAAAAATTGTAGCACTAACTCATTTATTTATGCAAGCTTTGATTTACGCCCTCAACTAACATTTCTTACTTTCTTGCAGCTGCTGCATACCATCCACAAGCTGAAAGGGTTCTCCCTTCTGGTGAAAAACAAAGGGCATTCTCTTCTTCAACCAAAAAAAATGTCTTTCGAGCAAGCAAATGCATATCGGAGGGTCAAGCCCATTACTATCTCCTACTCAGATCTCATGGTTTGCAACATCTTCCATGCCGTTACCTCATTGATTTCTTAACTAATACTTTCTTTTACTTTTCCTTAAACTTAATTTTAACTGGTGGGTTTATATTGGCGCTATTCAGGACAAGGAAAGGGATTTGTCGGACAGGATCGAGGAAGCATTAGGTCCCGAGGGACTAGGCATCATTTTGATCTCAGATGTATATACTGACTTCCCTTTTATCATAAAAATGCTTGCTTACATGTTCTTTATGTTCAATGCCACACAGATTATGTGTTCACATTGTTAGAGTGTTTCCATTTGTATACTATGTCACTATGTCGCGCACACACTTCTACCGTCTTAACACAATTAGCAACAATAGGTGCTTGAAAAGAAATAACTTGGGGCTTCTCACGGTAGATTTATGCGTGATGAAAGTGCTGAAAAGGACTATTGGCCCTTGTATACGGATCGGAGGTTAAATTGTTTCATCAAACTTGCACTTTAGTTCTCCTACAATAGGGAAAATATATGTCATGCAACCCGACCAAGGTCAGAGGTCTGAAATTAGATGCTTCAATCTATGATTTCCTTGACGTGCTATTTTAACTTGTTCATCTTACTACGTGTTATCCATGTGTAAATATTGAAATTATGTTCTTCCATTTTTAGGCTATTTAAGTGGCATGCACGATATATGATCCAAATAAGTGGATTTTAAAATTTTGTCTCTATTTGCATCCTTTTCATTTTTGACACAATTCAAGCTCCAGTAATTTCAGTAAGATCCCCAGTGGAAACAAGTTCAAGATAAACTTTAAGGTTAGATCAAAGCTCGAGATAAATTTTAAGGATAGATCATATCAATTTAAACACACACATATTGTACGATTTAGACCGATTTTATTCAACTAACATCATTTAGATTTTTAAAATACCGTCGGTCAAAAGGCCGAGCATTTCTTATTTCTTCATTGTCTATCAAATGGTCATAAAATGGGCCATTTTCATTACAAATAGTTAAGATCTATGGTCTAGAACAAATGAAACTCGTTTAAATTTGCAATCTGCGAGGTTTACACTATTTAGATCGGAAACACCTTGGATTATTAATTAAATGATAGTTTTATTTGACAAGCTATTTGGAGCACCATTCATCTTGTAAGAAGTTGGTCCATGGGATTATATGCCTTTTAGGCTATTTTCTATTTGCATGTCATATATCATATATAACTGGGCCAGTTTTAATTTTTTGATGCTTCAAAATATGCTTTTCATATGAAAGGATTCAAACTCCTATAAATTGGATCTTAGTCAAACCCCCTCGCTCCATATATGTTTATATGTGTGCGTGTATATGTATGTGTATTTGTATGTATGTATCATTTGCAGTGTGTGTTTTTCGTCTAAGCACTTTATCTTTTGCTCCTTAAAAATTGGTGTAATGTGTTTTCAACCACCAACTCCTGAATGGCCCACCATTATTTTGTATCCCACATCTTTCCTCTCTTCATCGTGTCATTACAAAACAGAGATATTCAATTGTGGGAGAAATGCCACAACTAATTCTAATGGTTAAAATAAATTCTATTACATGATTTTTAATTCATGAATGTGTTGTTGTTGCTGAAAATGATATTGGGTGTTGATCAGGTGCTACATTATATTGATCTGAACTTTACAAAAACACAAACCCCAACCAAAGGAGTGATAGGCCTATTTTTCCCAATCAGAGTGGGTCACCGGGTTACTTACGGTGATGAACATGTCAACTCATAGCTTCTGAAGTGAAGTGTGAAGTTGAGCTTAGCATGTAGCTTACATGCATACATACATATATAGAGCATATATTGTTAACATTCCCCCAAAATTTGTAGGATCACATTTTGGGTCATTGAATAGGTTAAATCACATCCCCTATAAATGTTTAAAGTCACTAAAATATGAGAAGCAAAAATCAAGTGCTTTGGGGGCTTACCTGGTCGATCTCAAAGTGATGGCTTTAAGGTTCTTGAAAGTCTGTTATTACTCTCGACTGATTAGTTGGTAAAATATTTGGTAAAATATTTTTAAACAGATGGATTTTCGGTCCATCAGCGGCTAATATATGTCATGAATTATAAATAAACAATACACGATCCTGATTCAGGTGGCGTCCCCTAAGATTTTATGTTCTTTCATACTTTCCAGTTCACATTATATGTATTGGCCTTTCTAGAATCCCCTTCCTCGCCCTATCCCACTAGACTATGATATCACCTTATTAAGAATGCTTATCTGATCAAAGATGACACTCAGTGTTTCAGATATTTAGACTTTTAGGTTTGAGTTTCACCTGCTTCAATCTATTGATTGGTTTTTTCCTCCACCACTAAGATTATAGGACAGACAGATGATAGCTTTACTATGTGCACTAAAATAATTTTGATTTTAGTTTAATTGGTCTCTAGTTCTGTTTTGCCACTCTTGCTCAAATCTATTTCTGCTGACATTCTGTTGGTGCATTATTTTGGAAATTTAGCTGCTTAAGCTCATGGGGTTCCTAAATCTGAGCTCCCTTAAGTAGGTGAGGAACTGGAAAGGATAGGTAGATGAATTCAGCATAACCTAACAAGACCTTTTCTCGTTTGGGTTCAACTGTCCATCTCTCCCCGTCGCTATTCCATCTGTTCCTATCATTTTATTAAACTGCTTAAGCCTACCTTGATACCTTTAGCCACTTAATTTCCTTCTTTCTTTAAATATGTATGCATCCCTTGCATGAAGTTTTGGTTGCTCGTCGACTAAGTAACATCAATAATCATGCTTGTGAAACTGTGCTTGGATTCTATCTCTGATACGGCTCTGTTATATGGAGACATTAAAAAATGACATTATCAGCAAAACTTGATGCTGTAAAACTTTTTTGCTTGGGAATCCAACATTCGGCTTTTATGCTGCATTGGTATAAGATAAAAAATCCATCAATTCCTTTGGCATTTGGAACTAGTCATATTAAGTTTTAATCATAAAACTCCTTATTGAAGCCCACTTCAATGTCCAGCATTTTCTTGGTTTGGAATTAGTTTTACAAACATTTTGACTATGACAGTGGATTAGCTCGAGGTTTCTGCAAGAGGGATCTGTGTTGTTTGCTGCCAGGAGAGATATTAATTATTCTTCTACCAGTGTGCATATGAATCTTATATCAGGAATTATATTACTGAAGGTTGAGATGAGATTATGAGATGGATGCTTCTGAAGGAGCTCATATACTGCTCCATTCTTCATGTTAAGGGTGAACTATATGCATTGTTCAGATTGGTCATATATCTTCATGTTAACAACAGGAGAATGGTTTGGTCACTGCATGGACATAACGGTGAAACTCTGCAGAAGGATATAATGATTTCATTTTCATGTGGAGGATTGCTCATGCAGAAATGAATCTACAAGGCAAAACTTCTGCCAGTTAGCTAAAAGTGGATATGCAAAAGTAAAACTTCTAAAATTTCTAAGATTTTGTTATATTCCTTTATCCATATAGCATTGCTCTAGTTATATGTTTAAGGTAATTACCCAGGAAAAGGAAAGCAAACTTATCCTTTTAAATATTATGATTTTGGACTGCAGTTAATCCACGGTTATGCGTATGATTTTCTGATATAGGTTGATAAATGTACCTGGGATATTGAATTTTATATTTTGTCTCATTGGCTTTGCTTTCTGTCCCTTCTTTCTTTCAGGTACCTGAATTTTCTTTGCTACGGAAGAATCTCCTCCATCTTTCACCCGTGCAAGTGCTTTAAACTTCCTCATAGGTTTCATCACTAGATAATCTGTCGTAATACCTTGGAAAGGAGAAGTAAAGAAATTATTCATTTTTCTTCTTTCAGAGTGGCAAGCCTTCATGATGATGTAAGAGTAAGTATTGAAGATCCTTCAAGCAG